GTCTTATCCGCAGTCAACTCTTCTTGATTAATTTCTATTTGCACGTGTGATTTCTAATACACCAGCATTTAAAAATGTTCTTGAGTCTGTGTTTCTTTATTCCCTCCCTTGGTTATTGCTTGGGTATTACCCATTGTTGTGCTGCCATGGATATGGCCAGGAAAGATGAAAATTTATCCATACTTACCGTAATTTTCCTTTCCTGGTCATAGGCCATGGCAGCACTTAGATCCCGCCCTGGGATATTGCTGTTAACAAGACTAAGGGACCATTGGTGGGAGGGGGTATTTATACCCCTGATTTTAATTCTGTTCCTGTCTAATTAGGGATAGGGAGGAGCTAACCCATTGTTGTGCTGCCATGGCCTATGACCAGGAAAGGAAAATTACGGTAAGTATGGATACATTTTCATCTATATAGGGTTCAAATGGATGGTCCGCACTCACAATAATAGTAAAATGTAACTTTTATTAATTACATTTAATGCTGTCCTGAGGAAAGTCCTGCACTGGGACTGAAACGTCGACATTTTTTGGCATATTTTTAAATGTAATTAATAAAAGTTACATATTACTATTATCGTGACTGCGACCATCCATTTGAACCCTGTATCTCGATGACCACGGCCCAGCACTCGGATAAAATAAGTATATATTTGCAGCCTGTAGTGCAAGGAAATGTTGGAATTTATATATATATATATATATATATATATATATTTGTAGTCGGGGCAATATGGCCAAACAGAGAAATCTTAGCATAATATAATCATAACATCCATAAGTTAGCACCAGTCGGTTGTGATGTGCCGGAACCGACAAAGCAGTAGGCCTGTAATAAAAGTGGGCCCACCTTAGAGGGTGTTATAAATAGAGGGAGTGGTGGGAGGGTTGACTCGCCAGACCAGCAACGGTAAAGTGGGAGTGGATTGGCAGCCCTTTTAAAGGGGAACCAAGCCCCTCCCACACTACAGGCCAAGCCTTCAAATTAGTAGTCGGGGCAATATGGCCGAACAGAGAAATCTTGGCATAATATAATCATAACATCCATAAGTTAGCACCAGTCGGTTGTGGTGTGCCGGAACCGACAAAGCAGTAGGCCTGTAATAAAAGTGGGCAAAAAGAAAATTACCAGGAAACATAATTCGTGAACCAACTTCGTTTATTGAGATAAGTCACAAAAAGCTTGTCTTAATTCTTTAACGGGATTAGGTATGTAGAGTGTGTAGGCGGAGGATTTCCAGCGTCCCATAGCCTTAATAATATAAGCGGGTATGTGGTTAGCGGATGCTGAAGATGCTGCCCCTATACGGAAAGAGTGACCTGAAAATTGATTGGGGTTTAGGCCGAGCCTGGTCAACAGTAGACGTATGTATAGCATGAATTTAGCTGTGGTCAGAGTGTCTATGCAGTTCAAACAAAGGCTGTTGGGGTTGTTTTTGGACTGAAAGGGAATAAGTATCCAAGAATTTTAACTGGGCACCATATATTGTGAATAGGGTATAGAGGAATTTGAATAGTGTGTCCTTCAGTGCTGGTTTTTGATTGCCTTAGGGAGAGAATGTAATGGTCGGTATGTTTTTGTAAATCATTAGTTTTAAGGTAATCGTGTGCTGTGATGGTCGTGGTTGTAAATTCACTGGGAAGTAGGAACCCGTAAAAAGCGAGATATAGGGCTGTTTTTATTATGTTATTGGTCATGGGTTCAAAAGGAGACGAATCTAATAAGTTGGATAGAGAGTGGAATATGTTGTTGTCTATGGGTAGTCTTTGTGACGGAACATGTGTATCTAATTTTTTAATGCCTTTAAGTAATGTTTTTATTTCATATGACGTCAAGAAACCCGTAGTGTTAGGTTGTTGGATAAGCATATGGTGCTGGATGACGGTTAGGTATAGTTTAATGGTATTAAAGGATAGTTTAAGGTTAATGTGGCAAAAAGAAGTAAAACTTAAAATCGTTTCTAACGCAAACATGTAGTGGATGTGAAACTCGGTGATAAATTTCGTGAATACATGAAAAGCCCTATCATAAGTGTTCCTAGTGTTTACTGAGAGTGCCAGATGAGAAATGTGACGTGCGTGATCTAACAAAGTCTTTAATCCATTATCATGTCTTGGAATAGAGGTGCAGGTGTAGCTTGTCTGGAAGCGTTGGATAGTGTCGAGGGGAAAGCCTGGAAACGAAACCGAGACAAGTGATCAGCAGAGGTGTTTGTGTGCTCCGGAATGTGTATGCATGTTATAAAGAATTGACAAGTGGCCGCTACCCATGTGAGACGCCTTAGTAGTCTCATAATGACCAGTGATGCTGATCGGCCTTTATTGACAATATGGCATGTAGCCATATTATCTGAGTAGCACCTGACCGTGTGGCCAGACCAATATGTTCCCAAAGCAATGGCTGCTGCCACGATCGGGTACAACTCAAATAAAGCCGAGGTATCAGAGAATTTGGGTAGTGATTTGAATTCGGTCGGCCAAGGTCCCCAAAGCCATTGATCACCCCAGATGGCCGCAAAGCCTGTGTTAGCTGCGGCATCTGTCCACAGTGTAAGTGAAGTGTCGGAGGGGGGTGGTATAAACATGGTTCGCCCGTTCCAAGAGGTGAGAAAACAAACCCACATGCGTAAATCCGAGGTTGCGTGTACATCTAATGTGATACGTGAAGTGTCTGAGGTGAATAGTGGAAACAAGGATAGCAGGTGGGATATAAATGATCTACCTTGGGGTATGATCCTCATGGCAAAATTGAGCGACCCAAGCAGTGATTGAAGTTCTTTGCTATTGCAATGACCTTGTAGCAGGTAATGTTCAATACTTGCCAGGGTACGCTCAATCTTGTCCTGAGGTAGACTAGCCTGCATGTGTATCGTGTCTAGTTGGATCCCCAAAAATTGCATGTTGGTATCTGGACCCAAAGATTTGTGAGGGGAGACAGGAATATTGAGGGATTCAAACAAAGCCAACATGTGATTCAAACTACTGGGTGGGAGTGTGTTATTCTCAATCGTGAGGAAATCGTCCAGATAGTGGATAACCGAAGGGCACTTGCACACATTTAGTAACAACCAACATAAAGCTTCTGCAAATGTGTCAAAAATACATGGGCTGCTTTTGGAGCCAAAAGTTAGTCGGGTGAAGAAATAATACATCCTCTGCCATTTAATGCCGTGTAGATGTCATAGGGAAGGATGCATGGGTAGTAATTTAAAAGCGTTTACCACGTCGGTTTTATTTAGCCATGCTCATGTGCCAGCTTGAAGAATGGCCCCTATGGCAGGGTCGATAGTGGCGTAGTGGAGTGAAAATTCTTCGGAAGGTATTAGAGAGTTAAGGCTGGGGACAGTGGAGGAATGTGGTGCAGATAAATCAATTATCAGTCTGGGTTTGAATGAGGTCTTCCCTGTGACCACCCCTATGGGATTGGTTCTCCAAGATGTGAAGGGTGGGGAAAAGAATGGCCCCAACAGAAACCCTTGTTTTACCTCAGTCGAGATAAGAGTGTTTACCAACTGTGGTCGTCTAACGTGGATTGTAGGTTGTCGCATTCCAGTGTACCGTAGGGTAAATGGACCAACGCGGTGTGAAACCCTTCAGTCATTCCCATAATAATATAGTCAGTGAAATGACGTGATGGGTGTAGTTGTAATAGCGAGGTCAATAATGTGATGTTCACACACGTTTGGGGAATGCTTTATTCGGGCACATAGTTTTAGCATGGGCCCTGAAACAGTGGGAACATACATGCATCAGCCTACAAGAGCTGAAACGACAATTCCCTGCATTAAAGTTATTGCAGACCTGGGATTTACCTAGAAATACAATATCCCTACCCAGTTTGTCTTTTAATCGCCTAGCAGATTTTGGAAAGTTAGAGGTAGTTTGGTTTTGTTCGATTTCTGCTGTGTTTGGACAGAAATTTGTGTGATGTGCTGTAGATGCACAAACTGCACAAGCTGGAGGTCTGACGCCTGCAAAATGCCTGCAGAATAACTCAGTGTCCAATTTGCTCCAATTAATGTTTAAATTGAACTGAGCCAGGGTGTATAGTTCCTGACGTAGAGTTCTTTCAGCTTACAAGGGATCCAGATTCCCAGGTAGCGCATCTGTTCTGTGCACTAGTGAAAGGGGTATCTGCGCTGGATTCGATCCTGTATGGTCGTCATAGACGCAACTTTCAATATTTCACATTTCGCCTGATTTAGCTTAAGTCCTGATATCCGTCCGTAGGTTTCGAACTCCTCCAGAAGTGCCAGTAGTGAGCTTAGGGGACTGGTTATGATAAAAAGCATGTCGTCTGTGTACGCAGTCACTTTATGTTCCTGGCCTTTATGTCGAAACCCCTATATCTCCGGTGTTTGTTGAATTCTAGCCAAGAACGTTTCCAATGTTAGGGCGAAGAGGAGAGGCGACTGTGGGCAGCCCTGTCTAGTGCCGTTGTGAATAGTGAAGCTGTCAGTGAGTGCTCCGTTTATCTGGACTCTGGCATTTGGGTCAGCATAGAGTGCTGCAATTCAGGTGAGCATGCCTCTTCCTAGGCCCACCCTGTTCAGTGTTGCCATCATGAAACTCCACGTCACCCGATCAAACGCTTTTTCTGCGTCCGTGGAGAGCATTAGTAGGTCCGATTTCTCTTTGATTGCTAGTCCCTGTATAGCGAACGCTATACGTATAAACGGCCCGGTATAAATCCTGTTTGGTCCGGGTGGACCAGACGTGGCATGTATTGTTGTAGTCTAGGGGCCAAGATTTTAGAGAAGAGTTTCACGTCCATGTTAAGGAAGCATATGGGACCATAATTGCCACAATTTACCGGGTTCTTACCGGGTTTGGGTATCACCATGATTGTGGCTGCTAAGGTTTCCTGGTGGAACCTGTCCCCTATCTGCAGTTGGTTGAGGGCGTCAATTAGGCGTGGAGTTAAGATTTCTCCAAATTTTTTATAGTGCCCTGCCGGTAGTCCATCTGGGCTTGGTGCTTTACCATTTTTTTTTCAGTTTAATTGCCACTTGGACTTCCTCCGTATTTATCAGAGTTTCTAAAATGCTGGCTTCTTCCGGTGAAAGTGTATCGGGTCTGAAGCTTTGGAGGTATAGTGTCATGGCTTCTGCTATCCTATCCTCACGTACGTCTCTTGTTCCGGTGGCAATGTTGTACAAGCGTTTGTAGTACGTTCGGAATTCGCCCGCAATCTCCTCTGGGAATTGTGTGAGGGTACCCTTTGATGTTCGTAGCGCGTGAACTCTCAGGGTTTGTGGTAGTGTCGCCCGGCTGCGGTCCCGGGAGTCACCTTGGGCTGCCGACGGGGAGCGGTTGGGAAGAAGAGCGAGGAGAAGAGGAGCTAGAGAGGGATATCGGAGTTATCTGTGGGGTCACCTATTAGCCGTCTTCTTTCAACTGTGCTGAATGATGTCTAGGTGGTCCCTCCTGAGCGGTTTGAACCGGCAGTCGGGAGATTATTTCCCAAATCTGGTGTCAGGCGGGTCCAGGAGTTTACCGGTAGTCTGGTCACTCAAGGAGTGACCTCCTCGAGTGTTAGGTCCCTCAATGTGAGGGGAACCTGTGTAACTGGGTGTAGTATCAGGACCGCACCGTCTCCCAATGTAAACTAGGGCAGCCACGGATCTCTCACCCCCAGTAGTCTAGGTATACACAGGTCCGGTCTGGGGGGTAGGTTTATTGACTGTCGTATCGTTTGCCTGCTAGTGTGCAGGTATATGGTTATGGATTTATGTGACAGTGTGTGGCAGTCTCAGTGATGGTTCCGTATCCCACGTAAGTCTAAGCTAATCACGTTTGCCATGCATTACCGAGTTGCGATACAGGTGGGTGCAGGCTGTGCTTAGGGCGTTTGGTTTTGTGAGGTGTGCTGTGCCTATCTCTCGTGCTGGTAAGTCAGCAGTCCTCTCAGGGTTTGATTTGCCGTCTTCTAGTCTATGTATATAGGGGACAGTGCTGTTGTGGTTGATAGTTTGTGGTGTGGGGGTGTTGTGGTACAGGGGAGTATGCGTTGCACTTGGTAAATTGTGTCAGGCACCTCGGGTCTGGGTTAGTCGGGTGAGTGATCCCTGTCATAGATCATAGATCAGTGGATGGAGAGGTGCAGTACGTTTCTAATATATATTGCAGCATATCTGAACCTTTGGACCCCCGCCCCTGCTCAATGCCACCCGCCTACCCTCCCCAACTCCCCCTTTGTCTCTTCCGCTGACATTCCTAGGTATGTGTCTGGACTGCCATTCCTTGACTTATCACTGTACCGGTTACAGTATCATCCCTCTACATTTTGGACCCCTCAGTTGTTCTGCCTTTCTCTGTCCTGCCAACCTTAGTTGGTTTGGCCTACATAACAAAAAAATTCATGTCTAGTGACCCACCCCAACCACTCCCCTCCCGCCTCAGCCCTCATGTAGCTCAATCCAAGTCATTGTTCATTGTAATGGCACCTAAGGATCTCTTTAGTGGCCTCCTGTATGATCTGGTAACTCAGTCATATAGCGCCTCTGTTGTGCAAGGCCACCATTTTAATATGCAAGTGTCCAGCATCTCCTAGGAGACTTCCTTGTGTGTCGTCTTGCATGCATAAACTGGCACAACCCCTTCTAGACAGCAGCGTTCCTGTCTAGTTTCTCCCTCCCCCTGTAGGCCCCCAGCCCAAACATAGGTATCAGTTCGTCACATGTGCCCCATCTTTGTGCCTTAACCCCTTAAGGACACATGACATGTGTGACATGTCATGATTCCCTTTTATTCCAGAAGTTTGGTCCTTAAGGGGTTAAAGGTGCCCAGGGGTCTCGCGTGGGTGCTAGGACTAGTGCCCCCTATTGTGTATGTGTTAAAGGACCACTCTAGGCACCCAGACCACTTCAGCTTAATGAAGTGGTCTGGGTGCCAGGTCCTTCTAGGGTTAACCCATTTTTTCATAATTATAGCAGTTTCAGAGAAACTGCTATAATTATGAATGGATTAAGCCTTCCCCCTAATCCTCTAGTGGCTGTCTCATTGACAGCCACTAGAGGCGCTTGCGTGCTTCTCACTGTGATTTTCACAGTGAGAGCACGCAAGCGTCCATAGGAAAGCATTGTAAATGCTTTCCTATGCGACGGGCTGAATGCGCGCGCAGCTCTTGCCGCGCGTGCGCATTCAGCCGACGGGGAGGAACGGAGGAGGATCGGAGGAGGAGAGCTCTCCCGCCCAGCGCTGGAAAAAGGTAAGTTTTTACCCCTTTCCCCCTTCCAGAGCCGGGCGGGAGGGGGACCCTGAGGGTGGGGGCACCCTCAGGGCACTATAGTGCCAGGAAAACGAGTATGTTTTCCTGGCACTATAGTGGTCCTTTAAGTGCAAGACTTATCTGTTCTCTCCGTTGAACTGGAAGTCTCTAGTCTACCCACATGGTCGCCATCTGGGCTGGTGCGTGATAGTCTTGGCTGGTTTGTGGCATCACAGGGGAGTGGATCGCCTACCATCACTTCTCCGAGTCTGCCGGTGTAAGTTGTCTGCGGGCTGTTGGGCGCCTTGGTGTGTGATCTCTAAACCTTCATTGTTGTCCTGGCGTTTGTGGCCCCTGTCTTTGTGGTCCGAGGACCCAGTTTGCAACTTCCGTGGGTGGTAGTCCTAGCCGTTGTATGTATCTAGGCACCTCCTCTGGCCAGCGCAGGGGGATCCACTCATTGTGATGCCTTGCCAGGAGAGTGAAGGGAAAGCCCCATTTGTATGGTATTCCTATTTCTCTGAGGAGGGATGTGACTGGCCGTAAGGCCCTGCGGGCCTCCAGCGTTAGGGGTGATAGATCCTGGTAAAGGGCTACTTTTGCATCATGGAACCTCCATGTTGGTCTCGAGCGGGCTTTAGACATAATACTTTCTTTTAACTTATAGTTGTGTAAGCAGCATCCGCAGTTGTTCTGCCTTTCTCTGTCCTGCCAACCTTAGTTGGTTTGGCCTACATAACAAAAAAATTCATGTCTAGTGACCCACCCCAACCACTCCCCTCCCGCCTCAGCCCTCATGTAGCTCAATCCAAGTCATTGTTCATTGTAATGGCACCTAAGGATCTCTTTAGTGGCCTCCTGTATGATCTGGTAACTCAGTCATATAGCGCCTCTGTTGTGCAAGGCCACCATTTTAATATGCAAGTGTCCAGCATCTCCTAGGAGACTTCCTTGTGTGTCGTCTTGCATGCATAAACTGGCACAACCCCTTCTAGACAGCAGCGTTCCTGTCTAGTTTCTCCCTCCCCCTGTAGGCCCCCAGCCCAAACATAGGTATCAGTTCGTCACATGTGCCCCATCTTTGTGCCTTAACCCCTTAAGGACACATGACATGTGTGACATGTCATGATTCCCTTTTATTCCAGAAGTTTGGTCCTTAAGGGGTTAAAGGTGCCCAGGGGTCTCGCGTGGGTGCTAGGACTAGTGCCCCCTATTGTGTATGTGTTAAAGGACCACTCTAGGCACCCAGACCACTTCAGCTTAATGAAGTGGTCTGGGTGCCAGGTCCTTCTAGGGTTAACCCATTTTTTCATAATTATAGCAGTTTCAGAGAAACTGCTATAATTATGAATGGGTTAAGCCTTCCCCCTAATCCTCTAGTGGCTGTCTCATTGACAGCCACTAGAGGCGCTTGCGTGCTTCTCACTGTGATTTTCACAGTGAGAGCACGCAGCGTCCATAGGAAAGCATTGTAAATGCTTTCCTATGAGACGGGCTGAATGCGCGCGCAGCTCTTGCCGCGCGTGCGCATTCAGCCCGGAGGAGGAACGGAGGAGGAGAGGAGGAGGAGAGCTCTCCCGCCCAGCGCTGGAAAAAGGTAAGTTTTAACCCCTTTCCCCTTTTCAGAGCCGGGCGGGAGGGGGTCCCTGAGGGTGGGGGCACCCTCAGGGCACTATAGTGCCAGGAAAACGAGTATGTTTTCCTGGCACTATAGTGGTCCTTTAAGTGCAAGACTTATCTGTTCTCTCCGTTGAACTGGAAGTCTCTAGTCTACCCACATGGTCGCCATCTGGGCTGGTGCGTGATAGTCTTGGCTGGTTTGTGGCATCACAGGGGAGTGGATCGCCTACCATCACTTCTCCGAGTCTGCCGGTGTAAGTTGTCTGCGGGCTGTTGGGCGCCTTGGTGTGTGATCTCTAAACCTTCATTGTTGTCCTGGCGTTTGTGGCCCCTGTCTTTGTGGTCCGAGGACCCAGTTTGCAACTTCCGTGGGTGGTAGTCCTAGCCGTTGTATGTATCTAGGCACCTCCTCTGGCCAGCGCAGGGGGATCCACTCATTGTGATGCCTTGCCAGGAGAGTGAAGGGAAAGCCCCATTTGTATGGTATTCCTATTTCTCTGAGGAGGGATGTGACTGGCCGTAAGGCCCTGCGGGCCTCCAGCGTTAGGGGTGATAGATCCTGGTAAAGGGCTACTTTTGCATCATGGAACCTCCATGTTGGTCTCGAGCGGGCTTTAGACATAATACTTTCTTTTAACTTATAGTTGTGTAAGCAGCATCCGCAGTGCGTGTTCTGTTTGCTCTGTGCGCTCTGTCAAAATCTATTGATTTTGGTGCTTCCACCCCAATATTCCCTGAAAGAGGGCCTTCAGTGTGGCCTCTACATCTTCCTCCCATGCTGGTTCTGGCAGTCCGCGTACCCTGATGTTGGATCTGCGGCCTCTGTTGTCCAGATCTTCAGTTTGGCGTCTCAGCGCTAGCAACATATTTCCCTGCCTGGTTATAGCTAGGGTTGAGGCCTCAGCCTGTGCTGTTATGGCTTGTGTGGCAGTTTCCACAGTCTGTAGTCTGCTGTCGTGTGCTGTGATGTGTGATGTCAGCTCTGAGCTCGGTCACTTCTGTGCGGATTGACGCGTATAAATTGTCTGAGAGGGCACGGAGGTCGTCTTTAGTTACCACTGTGGCACCTAGCGCTCGGATGTCGGCGCTGATGTCTGCCAATGAGGGTCTGCCCGGCTTCTGAGGTTAGAGAGTGGGTCGGGGAGTTGGCCATGATGGCGCCTGAGGACTCGCGGTGCATACCTGCTGATGAGGCTAGGAACCCGTCCATGGGTCCGGCCTGGGTGCCACTAGGGCTGCCTCTCGGGGTCTGGGAGCCCTCTGGGTGTTTTGTGTGCCCCATCCTCGTGCCTTGCTGTGGATTTAGTGTGCTGTTATTGCTTTGTGGGCCAGAGCTCCACGCCTAAGCTGCCATCTTCCTCCGTGTCTAGGAGTAATTATTTCAGATGACTTAAAGGTAGGCAGACAATGTAATAGAGCAGCAAGAAATGCTAGCAGAATGCTTGGTTTTATAGGGAGAGGTATTAGCAGTAGAAAGAGGGAAGTGCTCATGCCCTTGTACAGAACACTGG